CAAGCGGGCCTGGCCTAGGGAGGATTTTTAAACTGGGTTTTTTAGAAATTTTAATTATCACAACACAAAAATTTTGGTTTTAATTTGGTTTTATTCGGTGGGGTGTGTGGGTCTTTCTTTGTTTTAATAATGTTGTGAGCCGCCCTGAGTCCTTCGGGAGAAGGGCGGGATATAAATTGAAATAATAAATAAATAATAAATAATAAATAATAAATAAATAAGTGATTGGAATAGGGCAGGGGTAGGCAACCTTGGCTCTTTTATGACTCGTGGACTTCAACTCCCAGAATTCCTGAGCCAGCCATGCTGGCTCAGGAATTCTGGGAGTTGAAGTCCACGAGTCATAAAAGACCCAAGGTTGAGTTGCAGCCGACTCCCCTTCTTCCAAAATTGTAGCAAGAGGGAAGAAGTTAAGCCCTTTTGCGTGCACTAAAGCTACTTCACTAATTTTTTTTTATATTTCCATGATAACGTGTTACTAGATTTCAGAGTTACAGATAATAGTCTTTCTTTCAAATATAAATTTTCCCATTCATGAAATTAATTTCTTCATTCCATTTGGTTTTGCATTCTTTGAAATAAAAAAAAAAATCCCAGATAACAATAAAATGTCTTAATTCCAGATGTGTATATCCCAAGCAGGAATGAGATTATGTTACATTTGATGCATTTTTCTCTTTGTTTCTTCTGAGTTCGGGGTTTGGGTTCCAAATCTGCAACCAGAATTTCCACTAGCTCTTCAGGGCAATTTGAGAATTGGGGGATGGAAGATGGGCACTGCGTGAAAAAGTGCCAACTGCCCTGATTTCATCAACCAACAAGTGTTTAATGTTATCGCTTCACTAACAGAAGAATGCTTAATAAATAATTGTGCTTGTTCTCTTTTAGCTGGTTAAAGAGTTTGATGTGATCCACACACCCAACCAGGTTGGTGGCTTGATAATTTTATAACATCTTACGGGTACAGTAATGCTAGGGCTAGTGCTCTTCCTAGATTTCCTTCCCTCGAGTACAGTGTATTCTTTTCAGCAGTAAATCATTTTGAGATCTCTGCTCCTCTGACTTTGGAAATATTTTGCCAAGGATTCTTTTACTGTCCCTTGTGACTAATCTCCACAGAGCCGAAGTATGTATCATTCCACCTTGTAATGTTAAGTGCCAAGATTTTAGTTAAATGCTACATTCTTTCTGTCTCCTGCCCTTCACCTTCTTTAATCATAGTCTGTGTTATTTTGAGGGTCAAGAAAACCTTTTTCTTTCTTTATGTAGGTCATTCACACTGGTAATTTTATACACATCTATAATACATTGTTTGTTAACCCTGGCAACTTTTCACGATAGCAAAATGGGTACTTGATGATTTCCCCCATAAAAAGGATATTTTTATAGAACAGGCACCATTACTAAAAGGGGATTTATATTAATAAGTAATTGACTTATACAGCAATATGTGCAAGACTAGTACTTGTGTGACTTTAATACTCTCTGTAAATTTATTTGTTATATATATATTCAAATGCCTTTAATAATAAGAGCTAAAGAAAGTGCTATTATTTACTATCAGAATGATGGAACCCCCCCCCTCTTTTGTTTCAGTCAAGTGCTTCTGCTCCTGATGTTGATGATCCAGAAGCTTTCCCGGCTTTGTCCTAAACTGGATGCCCTAAGCCAACCCTGCCTCTTGTTGGGCCCTTCTCTACAAGGCTTGCATGCTTAAGGATCCTAAAAACAACTTAAGATATTAAAACGGGGACTCTCATTCATGCCATTCACANATTGTGGGCAATTCTCCAGTTTTTACTTCAATAGTATGGAACTTCTAGTTTGTAGCTAATGGTCAGCACTGTAATGAGTAAATCTGGATGCTACATATCAAGCATTCCAAGAGAATATCTGTAGCTCAGGATTGAACTGTGGGGTCCTTGGTGCTCTCTAAGCTTGGTTGTTTGCTTGCAGACATTTTATTACCTGACTCAACTCAATGCACCGGTTGGGTAATGAAATGTTTGCAAGCAAACAACCAAGCTCAGACAACACCCAAGTCTCCATAGTGTCAACCATTGTTTTTGAACTTGAAAGGTACAGCTGATAATAAAATTGAAAGATAGTAATAGCAACATTTCATCATCGGAATAAAATTTTGTGGTAAAAATATATTCAGGCTGAATGTGCTGTTTTTAGGTGTTTTTCAATTTTTTTCTTCTGTTTGGATTCCACCCCTTGAAAACTGTGTGTGTGTGTATTAATTAAGTGCTTGACATTCATATTTATCATAGGGAAAATGAAGTAGAAGAAGTTAAGGAAGAAGGGCCTAAAGAAATGACTCTTGATGAATGGAAAGCTATTCAGAATAAGGATCGTGCAAAAGTCGAATTCAACATCCGTAAACCAAATGAAGGTGCTGATGGACAATGGAAAAAAGGTTTTGTTCTGCACAAGTCAAAGAGTGAGGAGGTAGGTACAAATTATTTTTATTGTATATTTATACATATAAGAGTAATTGGCTTAAGACAATGTAACCATATGTTTTCTAGATCTGATTTCAGAAACGAACAGATATTTGGTTAACTAAATATTGTCCATTTTACTTTGAAACACAGTTTTATATTTTGCAGTTGGAAAATTTAAAAACCCAATGAGCAAAATCTTGCATTGTAATTCTCCAGTGTTTAGCCTTGTGTGTAGCCCTCATAGACTTTCAAAAAAAAAAAAACCTAACATTAGCTTATAATATGTCAGGAAGAAAGAAATGATGAATGTAACATATTAAATGTAAGTGAAATCAGTGTTAACTTTTGTCTGGGTTTCACATTTTTGTGTTTCAGTACCTGTTCCTTCCTATCTGCAGACAAAGTGGGGCTTTGAGTCCCTAAAAGTTATATTTGCCTGGTAGACACGGAGAATACATTCCAGTTTTTTAAATGCAGTTTGCTAGTGGGATGTGGGTTACGCACATAAATTCTGAGTCCTAGAACAATGTGTAGAAAGAGTGCTTTACTGAATAATTATTTAGACGTGCATTGTATTAAAGTTTCCATGAAAAGTAAGCTCTTTAAAATTTAAGAGCATTTAGTTGCTCTCTGCATGTTGCTTAACTGTGATAACTTTCTGTCCGAAGCAACATTGTGAATCTGCTTTTTTTTTTACCTGTCCTTTTTATGGAGAGCTACAGGTAGTCCTTGACTTACAGCAATTCATTTAATGATAATTTGAAGTTAAATACAGCACTGAAAAAAGTGACATGATCATTTTTCATGCTTACGACCGTTGCAGTATCCCCATGATCAAAATATGTACTCTGGGCAACTGCCATGTATTTATGATGATGGTTGCCATGTGATCCCCTTTTATGACCTCCTGACAACCAAAGTCAATGGGGAAGCCAGATTCATTTAACAGTCACGTTACTGACAGGGATTCACTTAACAGCTGTGGCAAGAAATATACAATGGGGCAAAAATCACATAACTGCATTGCACAACAGCAGAAATGTTGGGCTCAATTTTGTCATTAGTTGAGGATTAAGCTGTATGTTTATTGGAGATGCTGCTAAAATGAGAATGTCTCGAAAATATCGAACGATTTTTTTCTTTATTTTTCTTTGCTCCTCTTGTTTCTCAGTAGCAGAGTTGATTCCTTGTTCGTTTTTAAAGAAAGGAGCCCCGTTCTTTTCACTAGGGATAATTTACGGATGAGAGCGATGTGAATTGTGATCTAAAGCTGTATTTTAAAGTTCAGCACTTCCTTTAACACAAGAACCCTGAAGTGACATTTTTTTTCTCCTCCTAAAAGTGATCTCGACGCTTATGTCTATTAATTTTACCAAACACGCTGGCTTGAATCCTAATTCCATAACATCCTCTTTACTTGCTGTTTTGGGGTTTTCTCGCTGTATGTTTAAATATAGGTAGTCCTCGAATTGCAACCATTTGCTTAGTGACCTTTGAAGTGACAAACGGCACTGAAAAAAGGATTTGTGACCCATTTTTCACAGTTATGAGTGTTGCAGGATCCCGGTGGTCGTGTGATCAAAATTCAGATGCTTGGCAACTGACACGTGTTTATGACAGCTGCAGTGTCTTGAGGTCATGTGATCCCCTTTTGCTACCTTCCGACAAGCAAAGCCCATGGGGAAGCCAATGTTACTAACTTAACAACTGCAGTGATTCACTTAACTGGCAAAAAAAGTCGTAAAATAGGGCAAAACTCACTTAACTGACTTGCTTAACAACAGACATGTTGGGCTCAATTATGGTCATAAGTCGAGCACCACCTGTATCTTGCATCCTAGACCAGTGGTGGCAAACCTATGGCACGGGTGCCAGAGGCAGCATTCAGAGCCCTCTCTGTGGGCACATGCGCCGTTGCCCCAGTCCTAGGCCTTCAGCTGGGTTTTATAAAACCTTTTTGCTTTAGGCCTCCGCCTAAATCAATTTCAACTTCTCGCAGGGAAAAAAAAATCTTGCAAAGTTGGAATTGATTGAACTTTTTAGTCCCACCCAGTCTGCCGTTACCACCACAGCCACGCCCAGCCAATGGGCCACACCCACCCGGCACCCGGCACCCGACAATGCATAAGTGGGTTTTGGGTTGCAGTTTGGGCACTAGGTCTCTAAAAGGTTTGCCATCACTGTCCTAGATTTTTGCCTGGTTAATTGTAGAATAGTTACTCATGTATATACATACTCACATGTGGAAGTCTCATTATCTTTCTTTTGTTTTTATTCCTTGCCCATTGACATACAACTTGCTTCAGACAAAGGGGATGTCAGAAGTGCAGGGGAGTCAGCTGGAGCCTAATGAGGTACTTTATGGCTTATCTTTACCTAATGAATAAGGAACTCTCTACAAGTACAAATTTGAAGGTATTTTTAAAGAAAACCATTGAAAATGTTAATAATAAGCTGTTGATGAATTCATTAATATTTTTTTGGTAACCAATCAGCATTTGTGCCTTTTTGTGCCAGCCTGCTTGCCCACAAGTTCAAATAATTTTAGTTTCTCGGGCCCATATTGTTATCGTGATGACTGTGTACATCCATGGCAATACTCCAATTCTCTAATTTTTTTTCCTGAAGAAAAAAATTCTGAAGGGATTTCAGTATTTGATTCCAGTTATTGGTAGGTTGATCTGTGTTCCTTTTTCCATTATTACACATATTCAGTGACAACTGCTAAGGAATAGTACTATATAACATTGTCACAGCGTCTGCTTTTCCTGTTCAAATAGTTTGTTGTGGCTTATGTAGCTGAAACCATTTCAACCCAATGCATATTGGCAGACTTTGTGTTCTCCCATTCACAGAATAGTATGTTTCAAGTTCTAAATGATATTGTTATTGGACAAGGGATAATAGCAGTTTTTGCACTCCTCTGATTATAAGGCTCCCATTTTATTTGAATTTTAACTGTATAATTTTCTTTGTTATGGTTTGCTTGTATATTACGTACTAGCTGTACCCGGCCACGCGTTGCTGTGGCTCAGTCTGGTTAAATGGAAAAGAAAGAAAAGAGAAAGCGCATATTTGTAATACGTTTAATTTCACAATGCTTGTGGGTATGCTTTTACGTCCAACAGATGGCGCTGTGTTTCAAAAAAAGCATGTTTTTACCTGTCACAGGTGTGACATCTATATAATAGTAGGTATATAAAAACACGTGCGTATTCGAATGCAATGTTGTGTCAAAATTTCAAAGCAATCGGTGAAGAACTTTTGGAGATTTAAGATTTTGAACAAACGAACATTTACATTTTTATTTATATAGATAGATATATAAATGTGCTCTGGGGCAATCTCATCACAGTGTGCTGGAATGGGATTTTGCCCAGAAGTCAACTCTTTTAAATATAATGTATGCTTGGTATCAGTTGATATTGAGATCTGGCATTTTATTTTAACTATGTTTGATTTCTAGAACATAGGACAATTTTTAATCAAGTGTATAGTTTTGGGGGGGTTCTGATTCATTTGCTTTATATCTAGGTAATTGAACCTTCTCTGCAAATCCAGAGCTCTAGACTGGAGTTCTGGCATAATATTTCAGAGAATATAATAATTATAGGGTGCCATAACTTGACCTGTTAAAAATGCAGTTTTGACACACATTTGTCTATATTCAAATGTGGTTCACGTTCCATTCTAATGTTGATATGTCTGGTTTGCAGCCTACTAGTGTAAGTAATATGAATAAAGTGCTATATAATTTTCTGTTTTTGAATGAAAACTAATTTCAAGCCATACCAGTTAAACCTGAATTACTTGATTTCGTTATAGTCTCATGCTGAGGACTCTGTAATGGATCACCATTTCCGCAAGCCAGCAAATGATATCACGTCCCAACTGGAGATCAATTTTGGGGATCTTGGTCGTCCTGGGCGTGGTGGTAGAGGTGGAAGAGGCGGTCGTGGACGTGGGGGAAGGGCTAACCGTGGAAGCAGAACTGACAAGGTAATAACTGATTTTATGAATGAAATGTCAACTTTCTGAGGCCGATGTTTTACGGAACTGAGCTGCTTCTAGAAATGGTGCACAATGTTGCAAGTCTAACTTTGCACAACTTTGTAAAAATAAAGTTATATCTGAAGGAGTAAGAAGTTACTTTTGGGAAGATGTTTAGATAATAGTTTTATGGCTGAAATGTCAAATACATTAGCTTTTCCTCAGTTTCACCTAAGTGATTGGAATAGGGCAGGGGTAGGCAACCTTGGCTCTTTTATGACTCGTGGACTTCAACTCCCAGAATTCCTGAGCCAGCCATGCTGGCTCAGGAATTCTGGGAGTTGAAGTCCACGAGTCATAAAAGAGCCAAGGTTGAGTTGCAGCCGACTCCCCTTCTTCCAAAATTGTAGCAAGAGGGAAGAAGTTAAGCCCTTTGGCGTGCACTAAAGCTACTTCACTAATTTTTTTTATATTTCCATGATACGTGTTACAAGATCTCAGAGTTACAGATAACAGTCTTTCTTTCAAATATAAATTTTCCCATTCATGAAATTAATTTCTTCATTCGGTTTTGCATTCTTTGAAATTAAAAAAAAAATCCCAGATAACAATAAAATGTCTTAATTCCAGATGTGTATATCCCAAGCAAGGAATGAGATTATGTTACATTTGATGCATTTTTCTCTTTGTTTCTTCTGAGTTTGGGGTTTGGGTTCTAAATCTGCAACCAGAATTTCCACTAGCTCTTCAGGGCAATTTGAGAATTGGGGGATGGAAGATGGGCACTGCGTGAAAAAGTGCCAACTGCCCTGATTTCATCAACAAACAAGTGTTTAATGTTCTCACTTCACTAACAGAAGAATGCTTAATAAATAATTGTGCTTGTTCTCTTTTAGCTGGTTAAAGAGTTTGATGTGATCCACACACCCAACCAGGTTGGTGGCTTGATAATTTTATAACATCTTACGAGTACAGTAATGCTAGGGCTAGTGCTCTTCCTAGATTTCCTTCCCTCGAGTACCGTGTATTCTTTTCAGCAGTAAATCATTTTGAGATCTCTGCTCCTCTGACTTTGGAAATATTTTGCCAAGGATTCTTTTACTGTCCCTTGTGACTAATCTCCACAGAGCCGAAGTATGTATCATTCCACCTTGTAATGTTAAGTGCCAAGATTTTAGTTAAATGCTACATTCTTTCTGTCTCCTGCCCTTCACCTTCATTAATCATAGTCTGTGTTATTTTGAGGGTCAAGAAAACCTTTTTCTTTCTTTATGTAGGTCATTCACACTGTGGTAATTTTATACACATCTATAATACATTGTTTGTTAACCCTGGCAACTTTTCACGATAGCAAAATGGGTACTTGATGATTTCCCCCATAAAAAGGATATTTTTTATAGAACAGGCACCATTACTAAAAGGGGATTTATATTAATAAGTAATTGACTTATACAGCAATATGTGCAAGACTAGTACTTGTGTGACTTTACTACTCTCTGTAAATTTATTTGTTATATATATATATTCAAATGCCTTTAATAATAAGAGCTAAAGAAAGTGCTATTATTTACTATCAGAATGATGGACCCCCCCCTCTTTTGTTTCAGTCAAGTGCTTCTGCTCCTGATGTTGATGATCCAGAAGCTTTCCCGGCTTTGTCCTAAACTGGATGCCCTAAGCCAACCCTGCCTCTTGTTGGGCCCTTCTCTACAAGGCTTGCATGCTTAAGGATCCTAAAAACAACTTAAGATATTAAAACGGGGACTCTCATTCATGCCATTCACACCTGAAGACTGAATTTTACCTGTTTTGAAATGAACTTCTCTTGCTACACAGAAGCAACAATATGGTAGTCAGTTTTGTATTTAGAAATGTAATGGTAGCAGGGATGTTTTCATAATTTTTTTCAGAAATTATGCATTCTTCATGGATACTTTTTTGTATTGCTGCTTGAAAATATGCGTTTCCAAACTTGAAATATAGGTGTGAACAGTGTGTACCAGTTAAAGCTTTCACTTCATTTATTTTATTTTTTTTAAAAAAAATTAGGGTTAGATGTGCTTTCCCTAAACTACAAACAATTTTAACTCTTGCACACTATATTTCTTTTAATACTGCTTAGCAGATGGTTTTCAGTCCACGGTCAGCTGGGATATGTATAAAAATAATATGGAAACTTGTTAGTACTGTGTGGAATACTAACTTCTGGAGTATTTTGAGTTTTTAATACTTAAGTCAAACTTGGAAAGTCCATTTTCTTCTATCTTTGGTAGTTTGTGTATTCAAAATCTTTATACAAAATTGATATCAGATACTTGAAAAATAATCAAAGCACATTGGTTTATATTCTCAATACCTGCTTGTGACTCCAGCAGCTCTGGTTGGATAATTGGCCTAAGCCATTTTTTTTAAAAAAAACAAAACAATCCATGTTGCACCTCTCATTCACCCTTTCTTCAAGAAAACTAGTTGTCTGTTTGGTAAACATTGTTAAAACATGTTAATATTGTTGCTACCAAAAATATTCTGTAGAGTGGAGCAACTTTTTTTCAAGACATGGGAAGGTTGGGAACACAGTGGTATCTTATTTCTTAATATAGTTGGTTTAAACTACAGTTGATACGGTGTGGCAGTGCTATAAATCTACATTAACACGCATCCCCTTGGGTGCATTTAAACACTGTTCCACTAGCATGCAACCCTGATTCTGAAGAAGAAACCAAAGGGCACTGTATCCTTCTTGGGAAAAGGATTATTTGACTTGTTTAAATTGGAGAACCAAGACCATGAAAGTGGGACAGCAGTAGTCTGCGTGGGACATAAACCAAACCTCACCACCCAATTGAAATGTGGATCTTGCTCTATTGCTTCAGCTTTTGGCCTTGCCTAGCTGAGAAGTGAATGTTTTATTTTTGATGTGGGGGGGGGGGTGATTGTAAGCTCTCCTTTCCACTGTAGAGTTTTCTTAATATTTTAACTTAATCCCTGTGAACGAGAATGTTACCACTTTCAAAACATGAAAGGACTTGAGCAAATAATAAAAAGGACTACTTTGCCTTTCTGTCTACAACACTTGTTAGGAGATCAGAACTGAAATATCCATTTATTTCAAGGTTTTTGCTGAGTATCTAGTACAATTGGTGGGCTTCCCCTTTTTTTAAAAAAACAACCATGGAAAGTGGGCAAAAAGTATTGAACTAAAGCAGGGGTAGTCAACCTTGGCTCTTTTATGACTTGTGGACTTCAATTCCCAGAATTCCTGAGCCAGCTTAGGAGTTGGGAGTTGAAGTCCACGAGTCATAAAAGAGCCAAGGTTGACTACCCCTGAACTAAAGCATAAACAGTATTGAGACGGTGCATTATCTGAATAGGTTTTGTGAATATTTGTTTGTGTATGCAAAGGTTACTACATTGAATCTGATTCTTGATGCGTTTAAATTTCAGCATTGTGATCAGGAAGTAGGGATGGAGAAGCAGATTTTTAAATGAGTCCAGTATTTGCCATCAAGGAAGATTTTTAAGCACACACACCCTTCACCCCTCTTCCTCTCCCCAATTTATTGGTTCTTAGTTCCCAATTACTGATTTTGGAAATAGTCACATTTCTTAAGTCAATGGGTACATACGTTATCAGGTCCCTTGTTTTTTCCCCCCATCCAAATGCATTTCACAGCACAGATTTTTTGGGAAGATAATGGCTGTTGTCTATATCCTTAAAAAAAAACACCCAATTCTTATTTCCTGCACAAATACGCTAGTGCCCAAATACATACTTATTAAGTATTTTGCTGTTCGTGAATATCCCAGTCTAACTCTTTTGACTTCCAAACTTTAATTCTGGACAGCCATATATATATATTTGCAATGCCAGTTTGGTACTTGACGTGACATGTTCATCTTCTAATACAGAGGCCCCCAATCTTTTGGGCACCAGAGACTGGTTCTGTGGAGAAAGGTTTTCAGACCAGAGGGGGCTTTGAATGGTTTTGAATGCTGCCTGCATCCAGCGGATGGGGCTTGTTTGTGCAGCCTGGTTGCTGGTATGCCGCAGCCCGGTGCCGGTCCACGGACTGGGGGTCGGGAACCCCTGTTCTAATATACTTGTAATATAGAGCAAATCTAGAAATGCTGTTTAAAGATGGCCCATTTGCTGGCTTTTAATAGCTGTGTACTTAATTTGTGTTGAGCTGTGAAAATGCTTTCATTAATATTGGTACATTTTAGCAAAGTAAAAGGTTTATTTTCATGCTCTTTTACAAAAGTGCTATTAAATTGGCATTGTGAATGTTTTCAGTCCCAGGCATCTTGCCAATTTTCTAGCTGAAACCATCTACATGTCTTTTCCAGGGAATGGTCCCCTTGTGGTGGATCCATTAGCAGCTGTGAGCATAGCTTTAGCAAATAATTACTCGCATAGTTAATTTTAATATTAGCTATTAAATGAATTGGGCTTCGTATCTCTTCTTCTCTTGCTTGCTTGTGTTGCTATTGCACCATTTTTTTTAGAGCAAGCCTCCCTTAAAATGTGATGCTAATTATGACTGATTTATTAAATGTTTGAGCATGAAAGTTCATCTTGTACCAGACTACTGGCAGAAAAGTTACAATGAATAAACTGAAAGAGCACAAGCCCTTCTAAGGTAACCCTAAATATTAACTATATGTCTATCGTGAATATACATTTTGTTGGACAGATACTGCGTCTGATTGGATGATTACATTTTGCCCTGAAATTTACATACTATCCTGTTGACTTAATAAAAGCAGGACTGAGGCTTTTGGCTGTCTTGAGTGCTCAAAGTTTAGATACATATTCACTTTTGATTAATAATGCTAGTTACAATGCTAACTGCGAAATTACTGGTAAGAAAATTAGGGGCTGTTAGGGACCTCCCACCCCCCAGAATTTTGATTTGAAATGTAATATTTCTTTTAAAATGGTGAGAATCTTATATGGTAATCTTTTATATTTTAACAAATGTGAGCTAAATGTCTTCATGCACACATGACTTAAGGTAGATTAGTTGCTTAAAGAACAGTTGCTTCATCCTTCTCTGTAATCCCGGAGAAGATTTAAAGAGTTATGAATAGCAGTGGGGAGCATCAGGGAAAGTATCTGAAGATGAGATTGGCTGCCTGTTGCGGCTCAGGTGCATTGAATGTGAGAGTGCTGATGTTGTCAGCTCTGGGTTTGTAACTTAATTATTTACAAGTACTGTGTTTCCCCAAAAGTAAGACCTACCCCCCAAAATAAGCCCTAGCTTGATTTTGGGGGTGGGCCTAATATAAGCCCAATTCCAAAAATAAGCTCTAAATTTGGGGCAAAGCACACACTAAAAGTCAAGCTGGGGTGGGGGTGTGGGGCTGCCCCATGTGCCCTGCACCCATTTACCTTGCAGCCAGGCCTCTCTTTGCCGGCCCATTTCTGCAGCGTCCCCAGGCCTGCATTTTGCAATCAGAGGCCTTTCCGGAAGGCCACTGCAGCCAAGAACTGAGCTATGGATTCAACCCATACTCGGTTGTCAGCTGCAGTGGCCTTCCGGAAAGGCCTCTGACTGCAAAATGCAGGCTGGAGCTCCATTCTCAGCTGTAGAATGAAGCTGCTCCTTCAGCCGCAGAAGAAGGGGGCCAGCTGGGCGGGGCTGTTGGTGCCGGAGGTGGAAGGGACACCCCCCCCCCCAAAGACCTGGTGCCTCTTGGAGGAAGAAAAAAAAAAAAAAGACCAGGTCTTATTTTCAGGGAAACATGGTATTTGCCTCAATTTTGCAATTTCTTAGTAAGCAAAAGGATGCATGGAATAAAAAGGTATAATTATAAGATGAAAACTGAAAGGTAAGAGGTGAAGCTTAAGCTGTTTTTATAAATACCTCTTATTTGACGATGAAATGCTAGGTGAGTGACAAACAAGTTTTTTTTTTAAATTATCTTTTGGCTCTTTTCCATATATAATGTGGAAAAATTAAATAGGTGGGCAGAGTGCAGGCAAACTTTAAAAAAAAATGCTTTGGAAGTGGAGAAGAAAAATTGAATCACAAGTCCCGTTGGATTGGTTGGGGAAAAAAACCAGGATAATATTGTCAACTCTTCAGAGTATATCCCTGTAATAGGTTAACAATGTTTGCAAATATTTACAAGGGTCATTCTTATCCCTGTATTAGAAATTATCTCTGGACATTCTGTGGCCTTAATCTTGAAAAGCAAATACTAGTGCATGTTTTCTTGTCAGTTGTACAGTGCTGTATATTACAGTTGATTGTATGAAGTGCACTTAGTCTTATATACAAATCTGTCCTTCGATAATGTATATGTTATCTTCCATATTTTGAGATAATGTTACAGCCTGCATTTAAAGAGATTTGTAATCTGATCCCATACATACTTCCATTTTAATGAGATTTTAACTGATGCTTAAAATCGCAGCTGTTTTGAATGGGCAGGTTTGTTACATAGGTTTCAATTCCACATAGAATAAGTCCCAATAAATGCAGAATGCTTTCTGATAGATGTAGCAAAAATACAATGGGCTCTGTTCTGTTCATGCAGAAAGTTATTCCAGATTACTGCTCATTTAGAAGTTGGTTTAAAATACCACTCTACCTCCAACTGATAGAATTAATTTTAATGAAGTTATTTTGTAAGTGTCTGGTACATTTCGTAGAATTGGATGTTATGGATCAGTAGTAGTTTAAGGACAGATTTATTCCTGTGAATGCCTCATAAAATGCCAAAAAACGGTTGCATCTAGCTTGCCTTGGATTCACAAGATCACAAAGTTTTCTCCATAAAAACCACAATTTTGATCACCCAGAAAAATGGCTAACATTTTCAACGTATAAATGATCTTCAGGTACAGTTGCCTTCTCTCCCATTTTATTTTATTCCACATATGTATGTTGCCCAAATCAGTAGATCCTGGATCAATTTAGGATTGCATTTCAGCAAGTTCTGAAATCATGACTACAAATTGTGTTTTACGAAGAGGATATACTTACAGAATTTCACAGTTGACATTGACTAATGTATCACAGTAGAAGCTACCCATATATTTTCTTTAAAATCATATATGCACATTACACAAAATACAATTAAAAAAAAACAAGCAACATTCACCTGCCCTTCGTTAGCCATTCAAATTGTATCTGGTTCATTGGGGTGAATACTGCATTCTATTTGTCCAGAATATAATTACCTTAGAATAAATTGGTTTTGGCATTTTTTAAAAAAATCTAAAACATCTGTGTAGTATCCATATTGTAAAAATATATTCTGTAGTTTACATAGATGGATAAGGAACTATTCAAGACTGAGTAAAATCACAATAGGTTGAACATTGAGTGACAAACACTTGTGTTTTGCAGGATTTAATATCAAAGTGGACTATGTATAATTGCATGAAATCCTCCAAAAACCCTTTGACTTGCAGCTTTGACAACAAGAGGCAGTAAAATGTATCTTCCACAAATTGTGCTGGGAAGAGTCTTACATCTACATAAGCAGCATTTTATAAAATATTTTTACTATATACCTTGGGAGAACACTTGCCTGTTTCAAAACCTGAATATTGCTTTTACGTTTAGTAAATGAATAACTAGTATGGGTTCTGGCATTTATATAGAAGCAAAACTGCAAATTTCCAGCTTATTGAAAAATCCAAAGTATTGTATTGCACAGAATATATAACCTGCTTAAAAAGCATACTTCTATTAAGAGGTGTGATTAAAATGTATATACATATGACCGTGGACAAATTAGCTCCTTTCTTTTGTTACATTGGACAACTGTAGCTTCTGGAATACCATATTGATAAAAACAATTGTCAGAGTGCTTTGTACCTTTATGAAATTTTGTACAAATTTCATAAAATTACAGTCAAATGTAGAAAACATTACTACACAGGTCTGCTTCCTGATAACTATAAAACTAAAATTAGATTGAGATTAAATTTAAAGGAAGTTTTTTTCTTTAAAATTTAAAAGGAGTATGAGAAAGCAAACTTAATGTTTTTCAATTAATTAAAGAGCTGGTTTGGTATAGTTGTTAAGGCAATGGGCCAACAGGCTGGAAACCAGGAGACTGACTTCTAGTCCTGCCTTAGGCAAAAAAAAACCCAGCTGAGTGACCTTGGATAGTCACATTCTCTCAGCCCTAGGTAGGAGGTAATGGCAAACTACTTCTGAAATCCTTGCCAAGAAAACTGCCAGGACTTGAGTCTCCTGAGAAAACGATTGAATGGAGGGGTGGAAAGTCCTTTTGATTTGGGAAACGAAGGAACTCTTAAGAGGAATCCGGGAGATCTTGAAAGGATGAAGTGCAGTAAGTGCGTATAACGTTAAGGCAAGTAAAAAGGCTCGTGGATCATTTTATGGGCAAAAAGTTTGAAAAAAACCTTGCTATTAAAGCGTGAGTCTTGGACTCTGGGAAGCAGCAATTAAAAATGCTATGCCATTTTGCAGAATGATCAAATCTTGGAAAAACAGACCTGAAAATTCTGGCAATTTCCTCTAGGAAAGCATTCAAGATCCACTGATTTAAATCCTAGGGTTCTGTAAATTATATGTCACTACATGTGGCAACAGCTGGCCAAACTTGCTTGGGAATCCTTGCAGGATTGGACCTGTTAGTTGGACAGGAGACCCGCAGAAATACTAGTGCTGCAGGCTGGACCTAGAAGTTCAACAAAAGCCAACAGTGAAACTGCTACTAGTGTATTGCCAAGAAAATTTCAGGGGTCCTTGAAGTCACCAAGAGTTGAGCTGAACTCTGGTTTCATTTAAAAGTTTATAATTAGAAATACATTCTAGACCAGCTGAAGTTCCACCCGTTTTCTGAAGGCAGAGAGTAGTATTTTGTCCAGAAACATACTAAGGAGCTTGTGCAGTTAAGTATGTGGTCCTCTGCCACTGCCAAAACTTGGCCATTTGATCTCCAGACTCTTCTGGTACGAACTAAATACAAATCAAAGCAGCAAGATGGGATGAACTCTGTTGCCTTTCAAATGATGGAGAATGGCTTTGTCTTGTTTAAATTACATTTAGGTTTACTCTTAATATTGCATAGGGAATATTTGCATCCCGAAAAAGAATTTGAAGCAGTTTCATCATGCCTTGGTGCAAAAGAAAAATGTTTGTGGGCTTGCATTCAATCAAACTGGTGAAGTTGATGTGATCTATGAAATATGTCATAGTAACATTAGCCTTTACAGTGCCCCAAACCTGAACGAAAGTTCAGGGGATTCACGCATCACGAGATTCCTAAGAATCACCCTAAATCAAACATTAGGACGTGAACTATAATTCCCCAATGTCAGCCTTTGAATTCTTCCAATGAGATGGATTATTCTAAAACAGTTCCTCAAGTCCCCTTCTATCACTGGCAGAAGGAGCTCCAGGAGAATTCACATATTTTCAGTGTGACTAACAAATGCAGTAGCTCTGCCCCCATTTTCTACGACAAATGGAGATTTTATTTTTAAAAAATGATTAAGCTTTCTAGCAAATGATGTTCCTATTTCTTCAAATGAATTCACTGATTAGCAATTGAACCTTAAATTAGAAATAAAATGTGCTTGGATAAGTCAAGAATATTCTTTTCTGATTTAGAGGAAAAAATAATTTCAATCCCTCCAATAATTTCTAAAGAGTGAAGAACATTGGCAAAGTACAAGCCAGGCTCTAAAAAGCCTGCTCTTATCTTTCAGGAACATTGACTTTTTTGGGGGGGGGGAGGGCAAAAGTGTGATTTAAAATTTGGTTTCAGCTTCATCAGTTTAATGGTTGAACAAAAAAAAATCATAGGTTAAAAAAATGTGTATTTCTGGAGATATTTTACAGCTCATTCCTTATCTGTTTTGTATTGGGCTCTTGAACTGATTTAATTTTGATTTTTCTAGTTTTAAGTTTTTGAAAATTGGTCTTATGGTCATATCCCTGACACCACTGTGAATGAGTTTTTCCAAAGAAAGCACCCAAGGGATTCCGTTCCAAAATATGTTAAGCCTGTGCTTTAAATAAAGTGAAAAAGCACCCCTGTGGTATTTCAATGCTCAGATAAGCTCTCTTCACTCTCTCCTGCTCCACTTCCCCAGAAAATATTGGAACATATATTGTCACCGACGTAAAATAAACTGGGAGACTGCATTTCATATCTCCTAAGCTGGAAATATAACTGGGGTATTGTAAGTATGGAAACAAAAATGAATGCTCTCTTTCCAATTGCTTCTTTGGTGTATTTTTAATTTTGGTCTGAAACTGCTGTTACAGTACATAATATAAGCATTGTAGATTTTGGGATTCACCACATAGCAGCTCTGAGTTTGTATAAAAATCATTTAGGGGTGTTTCAAAGCCTAAGTTTTTTGTGGCAATCCCACTCATGCCCAGGTGTGCCCTTAAGGCAGTTGTGTCAAACACAATTTCATTGAGGGCCGCATCAGCATTGTGGTTGCCCTCGGGGGGGGGGGGAGGTGGGTGTGGCCAGGGTGGATGCAGCCTACTGGGTGGGTGTGGATGGAATGGGTGTGGCCTACTGGGTGCGCGTGGCCAGCTCTACATCATTCACGTGAAGGGTGCCTGTGGGCCTGGGCAGGAGTGGGACAGATCTGAGGGTCTCTGGCAGAAAGGGGTGGTACCAGGGCAGAGCCCATCAAGCCGGATATGTGAAGTAAGTGAGGGCCATTTGTTGGCCATTTCCAGGCGATAGTGCATTTCTTCATTTCTCACAAAGGGTGACACCTCCCCAGCATGCACCCAGGGGGCGGGGCCGACGCAGCAGGGGCTGGTTCCTCGCTGTTTCCAGACGGCCTTGTGGAGCTAAGACTGAATGCATTTCAGCATAGATGGCCACCACAAAATTGTACATTGGCTCCCGGCCGGCTTGGGCCAGGGCCAAGGCAGCAGGGGCCATTCCCTCACTGTTTCCAGGATGGCTTCGCGGCCCACATCCGGCCCCCGGATCTTGTGTTTGACATGTCTGCTTTAAGGGCTGGTACTTCCTACTGTTTACCTGAGTTGGCTGCTGTTCTGATGAAATCATAGGAGCCCCAACACTGGTGTTTCAAGAGGGTGCCTTCAGATGCAGAGGTGTGGGGATTGGATTCTCTCCTCTACTGAAGATACCTGTAATGAGTCGGCCAAATGACAAGTTACACCTGTCAAAGACCTTGTTTTTCAGTTTGTACAATTGCCAGGCTGCTGCCTCTCCTACTTAGTTCACATATAATTTCATTAAAGAGTTTTAATTATATTACTATAAACTAATGCAAACTAAAGTTAAAGAGAATAAAAAGTAAAAAAAATGCAAAAAAAAAGGAAAGAGAAAGAAGAAAAGAAAAGAAGAAAAGTAAGGGCATAAGAAAAAGAAAAATATATAAAAAAATGATTCCAGCCTTCATCACAAACAAACAAATTTAGTGATTCTCTATGGTTATAAACATTTATCACTTCATCCAAACTTACATCTTTTTATCTGTAAACAAATCCATGCAACATCATCTTTTTAGTCCTGGTGTCACCATAAAATCCCTAAGAGGTTCTAATAATCTATCTTGTTTTAACATTGATAAAAAAACTCAACTTTGTAATCTTTCTTTTTATTTCTGACCATCTTAATCTTTAGTTCATTCAAATATTGTCATAGGATTTATTTTTCTCCATTCCTTCTTTGTCCCATCACACACAATTCTTCAAGGCTTTAATAAGGCTTTTTTTTTTTAGAAATCAAATAGGGAAACATTATCCAGGCCACTCTCTTGATTTGTATTTCCCTTCTAAATTTGTAATTCTTGGCCAGTTTCTTTAGTAAATCCAGTGAAACATCCTTTTTTAAAGTAATTGATTTGGTCTGTCAGTTATACATCCATTTTTGAAACCATTTCTTCTCAATAAAATTTGTTCTACATCTGTCACTTCTTCAATGACACTGAAGAACATGTGGACACCTATTCATAGAAGCAGGAATAATGACTCAGATTGTTGAAATTGTAGCTAGCATTTCCTGAATTCATTTTTCAAAAGCCTCCTTTGTGTATTCATTGTTATAACAATGAATTTTGCAACATTCCACAGACTTGAAAATCTTTCCTCTACTTAAAAACATAATTCCCTCTAGTGTCTAGTTTTTGAAATCATGAAATTGCTTATCTTTCTTTTGTCTTGTAAAAAATCCAGACAGAACTTATTTCCCATGAGAAGCGTTTGGGAGCCCTCTACAGTAGGGGTCCCCAACCCCCGGGCCGTGGACCAATACCGGGCACCAGCATGCCAGCAATCAGTCCGCACAAACAAGCAAAACCCCATCCGTGGGATGCAGGCAGCACACAAAACCAGCCCCACTCCGGTCCGCGGAAAAACCTCTCTCCACAGAATAGGTCCCTGGTGCCCAAAAGATTGGGGACCTCTGCTCTACAGTATCACAAGAATAGCACCTCCTGACAGAGCATAAGTAGTCTTAATGGTTAAGACCAACATTCTCTGTATCTCTACTGTTAAAAGGGTTCTCTGTGAAAAAATTACAGTCCATTTTTATAGCATCTAGAGTAAGTTTTCCACCCAAAAATCCTGAATTTCTTCGAAAAGAAGTTATAGGGAAAATAGGTAATGAACTGAGTTCAGATCCAGAGCTGTCTTCCTCAGTAGTCATAATGGCAGGTGTGATGGTTGGCAGGTAATCTACTGTGGCATCCTCAAGTGGATTAACCAAGCACTCAGAAAACACTTGGCTTTCATTTGGATCCGCAGGTATAAATTTCTTGTACAAAGATGGCAGCTGATGGTTCCCAGTATTATCTTTTATATTGGTAGTCAAAGAATTGCAGTTGCTAGTTCTCATAGATAGTCCTTCTGTCTCAGTATTTTTAAATATGTGCACATCCATAAAAGCTAGGCACTGTCTTTTAATTAAGGCTTCCTTTATTTGTAGAGTTTCAGGGTCTTCGGATCTGACTGGGTTGCTTAAAAACTCTGTAGAATTGGAACTTGATTCATCCTTCATGAAGAAATTGAGAGAAAAAAGTGAGTTTGATAATATAACCTACCTTTCTTTTTTTAAAAGCAAACATTTTTGCCCAAATGTCACCTTTATATAACTGCTCGGCACAATTTGACATTCTTGTATAAAGTGGGGGTTTTCACCACATTTTTTAACAGATTCTGAGGTTTGTATGAGAATGTCACATCAATAAATTTGGCTTGTGTTTTTCATCTAAGGAAATCTATTTTCGATAAGAGGAAACCTGAGAAAACTGAAGCTAAATTATTTATATTTTTACTTTTCTTTAAATATCTCTGCAAATTTAAGGAAGATCTTTTTCTATTCAGAGATAAACATCAATCAGCCGAGTTGGAGTTATCAAGTAGGTTGGTCTACCTTTGTAGATGTAAATTCTTTTGCCCATGTAGAGTTGGCTGGATCTGGATACCAACCAAACACCAGAGCAGAAAAGAGAGAGAAAATCCTAGTGGGGAAAACAACAACAACAATGCAGCTGTTAGTTTTAAGCGATAATAATGCCACAACTGTGGAGTGTGAAAACATCTCTAGAAATTATTAAACTAGGCAGAACTATATGAGACTCTTCTGGCACAAGTACAATATGTTTGCTTGTGAAGATGGATGGAGGTTTCTGTCCTATAAATTGTGAAGATCTGATGTGGCCTGCTTAAGGTAGCAGATCTGTGTTATCTTAAAAGTGCAAAAACCAAATCCAATGTGGTCTAGTGGTTTAAGGCAGCAGTCCCCAACCTTTACAGCTTCATAGACCGGCATTGGCAGCTGGGGGGGGGGGGTTGGTTTCATGCACACAACCTATTCCTGCACATGCACAAATGGAGCTTTGTATACTCGCCTGCTGCTTGCACGGACCGGGGATTGGGGACTGCTGGTTTAAGGCACCCAACTAGAAAGCAGAAGATTGTGAGTTTTAATCCTGCCTTAGGCATTAAAACTGGCTGCATGACTTTGAGCTGGTCACTCTTTCTCAGCCCAATTCATCTTACAGGGTTGTTATTGTGAGGAAAGTAGGAGAAAAAAGTATTAGGTATTCTCCAAAGCATTTGAGGGCAAGACAAGAAGCAATGGATGGAAACGAACCAAGGAGAGGACCAACCTATGGAGAAATTTTCTGACA